TTTACTTTTAGATCTTTGAAATGTTTTTTGGTGGTCGATACATTATTCTTTTGATGGGTTTATTTTCAATTTACACTGGGTTGATCTATAACGATGTCTTTTCTCGAACTATGCACTTGACAAAATCTGGTTGGGAGTTTACATTAGACCCCGATAGTGGAAAAGAAATTGGCAAGCAAACTGGTGTTTACCCAATTGGTGTCGATCCGGTTAGCTATCTTTGTATATAGTGAAATTTTGTACTTTCTTAGTATTTTAAACTTATATGTTTTAATTATAGGCATGGCATGGTACCGAAAACTTTTTACTGTTCACCAATTCTTATAAAATGAAAATGTCAATAATTCTTGGTGTTATTCAGGTATGATAATCATTATTAAAATTTGTAAATTTAACTTTATGATTATTACAATAATTTTGTTTTTTGATTTTAGATGAGTTTCGGTATATTCCTTTCAATATTTAATTACATTCATTTCAAAAAAACTTTGAGTATCTGGGCCGAATTCATCCCTCAGATATTATTTATGCAATGTATCTTTGGATACCTGTGTTTTACGATCATTTATAAGTGGTCCATACCTTGGTACGAACCTGATGCTAACGGAAATCCAAGGAACAGTCCACCTGGATTATTAAATATGTTAATTTATATGTTTTTACAACCTGGTTCCGTTGAAAAAAATGCTGAGTTATATCCTGGACAGGTTGCTTTTTGAAAAATTTTTTTTTTTTTGTTTTAAAATACCATTAATCGACTTTTTTTTTTATATTTATTAAGAAATTGAATTTATTATTAATATCATAATAGGGGACTGTACAGCTCGCATTACTCTTAATAGCTGCGGTCTGCATACCTTGGATGTTGTTTGTGAAGCCTTTCGTTTTGCGTCGTGAGTATAAGAAAATACGGGCACAGGGATATCATAATCCGCAAGCTGACGTTACACGTATATCTACAGATGAGAATAATGAGCACGGCGGAGCAATAGTAGCAGAGGAAATGCATGAGGAAGAAGAGTTTGATTTCGGAGAGGTTATGATTCATCAGGTCATTCATACGATCGAATTCTGTTTGGGTTGTATTTCTAATACAGCAAGTTATTTACGATTATGGGCTCTGAGTTTAGCACATGCTCGTAAGTTTATTATTATTATTATTATTATTATTATTTCAAAAAAAAAAAATCATTTTCTTATTATTGCTATAATTTAGAATTGTCTGCTGTCTTATACGATATGACTCTGAAGAATACTATAAATTTTAAAGGAGTAGTTGGGTTTATCTTACTCGTGATAACAGCAGTCTTATGGTTTGTTTTGACTGTTGGTATCTTATTGCTTATGGAAGGATTATCCGCTTTCTTACACGCATTACGTTTGCATTGGTATATATATTTTTTTTTTAAAATTTTTTTTTTCCCCCCTCTATTTTAAATAATCATTTATTTCCTTTATGACAGGGTTGAATTCAATAATAAATTTTATGAAGGTTCAGGCAGAAAATTTATGCCTTTTTCATTTAAACTTATTTTAAAAGGTCAAGACGATTAAAATTGAGGACATATAAAAAAGAACTATTATTAAGGGTTTTTATTTTTATTTGAATAATATTTGCTTAATGTGTGTATTTATATTGTATTACTTTTTTGTATTTGCTTTTGATTTATAAAAAGAGAAATATGTTTATCTTCTTTTTTTTTTTATTAATTACATTATTACAATAAAACTTCTTTAATAACATGATTTAAACCAAATACAAATGGTTACAAACTCTTTTGTCTAAAATATAAAAGATCAATCTAAAAAATTGTGTTTCTTCATAATATTAATAAATACATGTGCTTTTCGTTTATAATATAATTCCTTGATTACCGTCCGCGCAATTTTTTTTTTTTTAAAAAAATATATACAAAAAAATATTGTTTAAAATCCCTTCCTTCAATTGTTAAATATACATCATCCTTGATGTACAAATAATTCTTTCACAAATATACATTGAATATTAATTCCTTATAAATGAATTATGACTAATATCTAGAAAAAAAATGGTTTTCAAGACAATTAGAATTTATAAAAAAAAAATATATATATATAAGATATTAATCCAAGCTAAAAGCTTTTATACCACTTACTCTGTTGAAGGATTAGTCTAGGCACTTGTAGCGGAATAATCAAATACTGAATGAAACTTTATAAATTGTTCCACTTTAAAACTAGCGATAAATCATTTCAACCAGATGATGATATCTTGCATTTATTGCAAAAACAATCCTAATGATTTGATAGCTATTAAAAAGGAAAAACGTTCAAGAATATAAATATTAGACAACATCAAAACTTTGCAGTGAATAACATTTCATCCCTCTGGATAAATTCAAGGTAGGATAATTTGTGTACTTACTAAGCTCCTAGTGTTTACAGAACTCGAGTATATTTTCAACATTACAAAAAAAAAATCCCCTAATGAAATTCCATTAAATAAAAAGTTTCTCCATGTCTCTATTATTCCAGAATTCTCCAAATTAATATTCCCTTTCAATTTTAAACGCTATCTTATTGATTCATAGTGATGGATAAAGTTGAAAATAATAGAAGATTGGGGGACATATTGTCATAATGATTAAAAAGTAAGGTGGATAAATATTACAGCTATCTTTCAAATGAAATAATAAGCAGCTAACTTATCCCCCCTTTTTTTGAAGGTTTCAAACAATAAATGGTGGTAAATAAAAAAAAAAAAAAATTTCTTCCACATGAATGAGATTTATTTATTTATTTATTTGTCAGCTGCGCCCGATTTGATCTAGAATTGCTTTCTTATTCTCTTTCTTCCAGAGATCGCCCATTCGGAAATCAATTCATCTTTGGTTTGTAGAAGCCAATCTAGCAATTCTTTTGCGGTACAACGATCCTGCGGAGACGCGGTTATACACTTTAACAATAACTCTCGCGATCTCATCCCTTTAACATTCTTTTCTGTATGGAATTTAATTTTGACGGGATCCGATACGATTTCTCTGAGATTTTTAAGATCGGTATCAAGGATTCCTCCCCAAGGTGCTTGGCCTGAAAAGATTCGCCACGCTAAAATTCCAGCTGCATATACATCTTCAGAGCAAGGATCGATTGGGTACGGGAGAATTGCATGATCATTTTTAGTACGAGGGAGTGTTGCCGCGGACCTATTTAAATAATAATAATTCATTAATTACATTTATCATAATGAATACCATCACAAGTTAATATAAAGATACAAAAAATTATTAAATATCATTGGCTTACCTGTACAATTTATAGCCATGATCTGGCACCGTCTTAATCCGTGGAAGATGTTCCAACTTATCGTTTGTTACCTCGCCAACGGACCAACTATATTATTGATTTTTCAATAAGCATTTATGGCTTTATAATAAATATTAGGCCAAAAAAAAAAAGGTTAAGAAAAAAATAATACACTTACGCCAACACATCATCACGGTTGATAAACTCGGCTTTCCCGAAATCGATTATTACGAGTTCAGGTTTGGCGTTACCATCCGACAAAAGTTCGGTAGTACAATTTACCATCATATTAACCTCGGAGAGATCCCGATGTGCAAATCCAGCGTCGTGAAGCGCTTTGATGCCTTTTATCATATCATGAATGAGCTTGAATTTTTGCTCACCTGTGAGTGGAGCACGAGTATTGAAGGCGTACTCCTTCAACGTATAGCCATACCTTACCATGGAAAGGCCGACAAGCTCGTCTTCTATGTCATCTTTGTAAATCGATCGGATTTGACCGGTATGAGGGACTCCTTTCGTTTTTCTTTTTTTTTTTTTTTTTTTAAAGAAAGAGTAAGATATAATCACGCTTAATTATATATATCATAATATTAAAGTTAACAACTTTATAAACTTACAAACAGCAAACTGCTTCCCTAATCCTGGTCTCAAGAGTATCATTTGAAATTTCTTTGAAGTTTTGCACGACATATTGTTCATCACCAGGAACGTGAAAAACTCGTTTAAAGAATCCTTCTGCGTCGACTTGTATTGATTTTCCGAGAGATTCGAAGCTCTCGATTGGTACGTTTACCCTGTTCGCCTCTATAAATGCAAAACGAATGAAAAATTAAGAGAATTAATATAAAAAGAAAAACGAGTTTCCCATTCTTCTTTATAATCAAAGAAATAAGATAATAAGAAAAAGAAACTTATACTCGCCAATAACTAGTCGCTGCCAGATAGAAAGCCCCTCGGGTGACGAGTGACCTTGTCGCAAATTCAAAGCTGCCAAAAACCCTTCGTGCTGCTGCGGTGTAATAATTTCTTTATCGTATTCTGATACTTTAAAAGGAGTTCGCAAGTATTTATCAAAGAATTTTGAGCCCACTGCGATATCAAGGTTTACTCTGCTGAGAAAAGCAACTCGAGTCCAATATCGAGCATCTTGTAATTCCGGAAACCCAATCGTATCGAGCTCGCGTAGCTCACCAAACGGTTTCGCAATGATCACACTGCACCGCAATCGATTCGTTCCGCGTGTATAAGCCACATCCTTTACGATTACAAGAATTGCATTGCGTTCATCTCTACAATTTTTAATATTCTGTGCGCCCATCGTGATATACAGACGTCCGAAATTACAATTCGCTTCCGTAGGTTGAAATCTTACTGGTGGGATGTTTCTACGTTCAAATACGTCAAAAAGAGGACGCGACATAGGATCTAAACGTTCAGCAGCAGCCTGGGGGAGCTTTGCAACATTGCTTCCGCTTTTAGAGATTTGGCGGAACGAATATAAAGGTACTATAAATATTCGACTATTTTAAAGAAAATATGTATGACATTATTCATTCAAATAAGAATTATTAAATAAAATTTTTTTTAAAAAAAAAAAAAGAAAAAGGAAAGGAGGAATTATAACGACTGTAAAACACGAATTCTAGTAACAGATTATTGAGAACATTTACCTTTCAAGGTTTGGTGCCACACCACAAACGTCGCTGAATTCTTCGTGAGGTAGTTTAGAACCAACCATAGCAAGTTCATCGTCGAATTTATTCAAGTCATGTGGAGGTTTAGAAAATTTCGTTGTTATTTCAACAAAACAAGCCAACATCGAATTCGCTTCGTTGAATATTATGGTTCCCTCAGGATGGAATTTGAAGGCATTATACATAATCTGGGCTATATCATCGTAGAATTTCGAAATTGCACCATCATATTCTCCTGACCAGAGATTATGTTCGACCGTTGTCAAATCCATCAAGCGTGAAATGACCGAGCGATAGAAGAATGCCGATTCGTCTTCAGGATTAACAAAAGGACGACACCACGCCTGAGAAACAAAATAATCAAGCAAGTAGGTCCCTAGACGGAGCAATCGTTCGCGGTTCAACACCTGCTCGCTTGCACAAAGTGACTCAAGAAATCTTCGCAATACTATCGTTGATCTCGGCTCGGGTTCGGCCACATCAGGAACCGGAGCAACAGAAAGTTGAGATACACTTGATGTCAATTCATGTTGTTCACCTTGATCACTACTACGAATGTTGTCGCTTCGACTTGCTCCTGATATCGCAACGTTGGGGCGACCACGTTTACCACGAGATTTTCGAGTAGACGTCGGATTTTGTCGTATCGTATTTGAAGAAACTTTTCGCGTTCTTGACTTATTGCCGCGTGAGCGAGAATTCGAACCTCGGGCTTTATTACGAGCTACTTTAGTATTAGTAACTGTCGGATTTGATTCCGTTGTAGGTGTCACTGTTGTCAACGTAGTTGTCGTCGTATTCACATTGTTCGCATTGAAGGACTCAATGCCAATAGTCTCCATATCAATACTATTCATAGGTGCAACTTCGGTTGTCTCGTTGCCATTTATCATGAGATTTGTATTATTATAATCGTTATCGTGAGTAATCTTGCGACGTTTATTTTCGTTTCCTTCTTGTTCCATAATAATGCCAGCTCCACGTTTAGGTTTTCTGTCCGCTTTCTTTCTATTCTGATCCGAATTAACAACCATTATCGCCAACTCGCTGGTTTCGTTCACTTGCTTAAAAGATGGCTGCCCATTATCGTCATAATCATTTGTGTTGTCCCCATTTTCGCTCGAAGTAGCATTTTGCCACTCATTTTCAACCTTTTTTCAGGTTTAAGAAAGAGAAATAAGTAATGTTATTAAGTATTTCAATGAACAAAAAAAAAAAAAACGCCCTTTTTTTTCTTTTAAAACAGAAATACTGTAAATATATTAAAAATATACTATTACACTTACGGTATTTGAATGAATTTGTTGAGCTTGAGCCCATTCGTATTGTGAACCCATTAACTCGAAAGTAGCATTGGTAGCCGATCCGACCATAGTCAGCCTCGGCGGTCGTCGATATGGATTTGTTCGACGACCTTGGCGCTTCTCCTTTTGAGTCTGTTGTTGTAAAGGTGGCATCACCAGATCAACAACAGAGGGTAAAGGCAAAAGTAAGAGTTTTAAGTTATTCACTTTTATTTTTTGAGGGTCCAGCTTTATTTCCTCTTTTTTTTTTTTAAAAAAAAAAAAAAAAAAAATAAGGTAACTTCAAGCAAAAAAAAAAAAAAAAGTTAAGAAATAAATTATTTTAATTTTTTTTTTTTCTTCGAAGAGATCGCTCAGCAAAAGGGTGAAGTATTTTATCAAAAGTATAAGGAAAAAAAAAACTCGTTTATTTTCTTGTATAGCAAGCCAAGAAAAAAAAAAAAAAAAAAAATTTCAACGAAAAAAAAATCTTAAATAATCTTTTTTTTGTAATAACCAAAAATGGATGCTGTATGTTTCGATCAAAGGTTACGCAATTATCCCCTCATAAAAAAATTTTTTTTTGGTCCAAGAATTCATCCGATCAAATATGATTGGTCAGTCGTGGGTTTTAGGTTAAATATATTTCAGCACAAGAATTCGAATTAATAAAAAAGAAAACTTTATGGTGCAATGTTGATAAGAAAGGATTCGAAATATCGCGTCATTACGTGTAAAATTTTTTCATAAATTCACACTCTTTCGGCTTGGATTTAGTTTTGCAGGCTTTGAACAAACAAAAAAAGAAAAGGTCAAGTAACAAGCCAATTTTTACGTCTCCTGATTTTATTAGATTCTCATCGGAGCATCCGAGATGTTCAACCAACTTCTTAACTTCATTAGCTTTAAAGAAACAAAAACAAAAATTTTAATATATATATGTATATATAATGAGATTTACAAGGCCAAAAAATTTATTTAAAATAACATTTATAACGGAATAACCGACGAATTTCTATTACGTAATTAATTTAAAATTATTTATTCATACGAAAGAATTAGACATAATGCCTTTTGTGCAGCCCAATTATAATGGAACACAGATGTGTGCCAACCTGTTCATCTTATCAACCAATCAGCTAATTTTCAAGATGAACCCAATATCTTAAATCGAGTACAAAATAAAAAAAAATTTCAACCCTGCAGAGTCCCTCCGTATAGTCACCACCACTCTATAATCACATACCTCAAAGTGCGTGATTGTAGAGAGGAACTGATTCAAAATGAAAGAAATCGCATTCATTACCTATTTAATTTACGCCAATACATTTGACAAGGATAGGAGTATCATGTGAAGAGCAAGAATTCAGGGAGTTGTCACGTGTTTTAACGAATATAACTTTGCTTTTTCCGGTAAGCAATTGTAGAATTAACAACGAAAAGAGGTTAAGTAAACATTATTAGTTTGATTTTACATGAAAATTTATATATATGAATTAAAAAGATTGAATAAATTTTTTTATTTTTTTATTAAAAAGGTGCTTTATGTGAGAGTGGGGATTTATTACAATGAAAAATGGTTGATAAATGAATTTAACATAATGACGTTTTCTTTTTCTCCTAGATATCTCATATTTTTCAATCATAAGATCTCACATCATTTATGTTGATGTGGAAGCTCCTGGGGATGAAGTGCTTGAGGTGTCATCACTTTGCTGTGAGGAACTTGCATTTTTTTCTTGAGCTTTCTTATAAACAACTTCAAACAACTTAAGACTAGATTTTTGTAAATTATGAATTTCCTCCTTGATTTTTTCTGGGTCAGCTTCATCACCTTTCTTAATAACCTCTTGTAAGTTTTTGATTTGTTCTTTAATGTTTTTACCATCCTCTTGATCAATTTGATCTTTATATTCTTCCAAATTCTTTTCTGTCTCATTTATTATAGACTCGGCAGAATTAGTTGCCTCGATTACACTTTTTCGTTTCGCATCGGATTCTGCAAATTTTTCTGCATCATGAATCATTTTTTCTATCTCTTTAGAAGAGAGACCCGATGATGCTGTAATGGTTATGGATTGATCTCGATTGGTTCCCTTATCCTTTGCCGATACATTAACAATACCATCAGCGTCAATATCGAACGTAACTTCGATTTGAGGAATTCCCTTTGGTGCTGGTGGAATACCGTCTAGCATAAAATTACCCAATAATTTGTTATCTTTGACGAAGTCCCTTTCACCTTGGTATACAGATACTGCCACTATAAAATCAAGGATGATGATGATGAGAATAAGTCTTGCAAAAGAAAAAAAAAAAATAAAGAATTGAAAAAAATTTTCATTTTTACATACCATTGGATTGACCATCAGCAGCGGTGGAGAAAACCTGTGATTTCTTTGTTGGAATGGTCGTGTTCCTATTAATCAATCTCGCGAAAACACCACCAAGAGTCTCGATTCCCAGTGAAAGCGGTGTGACATCCAACAATAAGATATCAGTTACACTTCCGGATAAAACGCCACCTTGAATAGCGGCACCCATGGCAACAGCTTCATCCGGATTAACACTTTTAGTTGGTTCTCTACCAAATATACTTTTAACAGTGTCTACGACTTTTGGCATACGACTCATTCCTCCGACCAAGATCACTTCATTAATATCTTTGGTATTAACATTAGCATCTTTGATGGCTTTCTCACAAGGTGTAATTGTACGATCCACCAAATCTTTTGTCAAGGATTCAAATTTTGATCTAGTTAATTTCATATTAATATGTTTTGGTCCCGTACTATCAGCCGTGATATAAGGAAGGTTGATATCAGTATTTACAGTAGAAGAAAGTTCAATCTTGGCCTTTTCAGCTGCTTCACGAATACGTTGTATTGCCATCTTATCAGTAGTTAAATCAATCCCTTGCGATTTTTTGAAATCTTGAACAATATATTTCACCAAACTTGAATCAAAATCTTCACCACCAAGTGAAGTGTTACCATTTGTGCTTTTGACTTCAAATACACCATTTTGTATTTCTAATATAGAAATATCAAAAGTGCCACCACCTAAATCATAAACGGCTACCGTCTTATCACCGGACTTATCCAATCCATAAGCCAATGCCGCGGCGGTTGGTTCATTAATTACACGTAAAACTTCTAAACCGCTAATCTTTCCCGCGTCTTTTGTTGCTTGACGTTGTGCATCATTGAAGTAGGCGGGAACCGTGATAACGGCGTGTTTTACTTTTTTACCCAAATATCCTTCAGCTGTCTCTTTCATTTTATTAAGCACGAAAGCACCAATTTGGGATGGTGAGTATTTCTTGCCATGTGCTTCTACCCATGCGTCCCCATTATCGTGTTTGATAATTTTATAGGGTACCGCTTTCGCTTCGGACTGTACCGCTGGGTCATCGAATACACGACCGATCAATCGTTTTGTAGCAAATACCGTATTCTCGTGATTTACCACTGCCTACAAGACGAGAAGGATGAGACAAACAAAGAAATCAATCCGTGTGATCTCTCGACAAAGGACTGCGTGGGGCAACAGGACACATTACCTGACGCTTAGCGACTTGACCAACTAACAATTCATCATCTTTGGAAAATCCAACCACGGATGGTGTGGTACGAGCACCTTCAGCATTTTCGATGACTTTTGGAACTTTCCCTTCCATCACGGAAACACAACTATTTGTTGTGCCCAAATCTATACCGATAACGGGGCCACCTTTTTGTGAACTATATGCTCTATTTAATACTGAGCTGAGCACGGGGTGTGAAGCGAGCACACGAGAGCTTATTGAAGGATGTAAGCTTTGTGACGGCCTCTGAAAATTGGTAAGCAATTAAAAGGTTTCGATGAATGATACTTTTGTTTTTTACATTTTTATTTCTTGAAATCAATTGAATCAATCCTTTTAATTATCAAATGTAGAGATTATCTGTATAATTAATACTTACTGTTGTACGCCATACTTTTGAAGAAGAACGAGTACACTTTTTAGATAAATTAAGCATGATATGACAACCCTCTCGTTATTTTACTATCGGAAAAAAAAGGGGGGGAATCCTTTTTATTATATTAACTTAGGATAAAAAGGTAAGGATTAAAAGAATAAAAAAAAATTTTTTTTTATTCCTTGATATTTATAACTGGATTCATAATCATATTGAAAACCTCTATTATGATCTAAAAAAAAAATTTTTTTTTTTCCAATCGAAAATAATCGAAAATCTAGATCTAAAATTTTTTTCACATCTCGTATTACAAAACCGAGAAAAGTGATTACATAATCTACATTAACAATTGACCAGGTTTAGAAATATTTTCAAATTGGGCCTAACCGAATTCTAACTCGAATTACCTTCCTCATCACATGATTATGTGCGCAGTAAGTGACAATTCGAATAGTTGTTTTTTTTTTTTTTAATGATTTGCATTTTTTTTTTTCTAAATGAAATTAATCCAAATTTGTTACTTAATAACCTATTTAGCTTTAATACGAATTCTTATAAATCAATGTGGTATTTTCTATGTATGGATCTAGACAAATATTGAAAAAAAGTTGTCGGTATATCACAATACAGGTAGGTGGTTAATAATAAATAATTAGACATGTTTATTTTAAGAATTGATCTTCCTTTAGCAAAGTCTATGACGATTTACTTTCATTTTTATTTTAAAGTTTTCAACTGTAAAGGACTGGTTCAGATGAGGATGATGTTATGCCTCGCAGCACCACATTACGTGAGCATCATGAAATAATTCTCTTACACCTACAAGAATAATCAGATGCTAACGGTCTAGGACGAATAATTATTTGAACACTTGAACCGCAAATGTCCTATGACGAATTTTACTCACGGAAGATTATTGTGAGAACTCCCTTGTTCCTGTCACTAAAAAAATACTTTACAAACAAAATCTAGAAATAAAAATATTAAAAATACGCTACCAGTTTCGCAACGAAAAAGAAACAGATAAAATATGATAAACTCCCGTGCATTTGGAAAAAAATTAGATCAATGAGATACTTCATTATTTTCGTATGTTATCACTTTACAAAAAATAATAAAGAATAGAGTTCGTTTTGAAATTTTAAAATATTATCTCTATATTTTGCGTAAAATAAAAATTAACTTATATTTTTTTCAGCCTCATTGCAATTTGATACATGGATAAAAAGATTTTTTTTAGAGTAAAATAAATTACTAACTAATAAATAATACCAGCTAACAGATTAAAAATGTTGGACCTCGTAATTATCCATAAGGATTGCTCCAATAAAACTCGAATAGATGTCATAAAACTTGTAAAACGTCACGCGTGAGAATTGCGGTCCTAGCGTCGCCTGGAAAATGGTAACCGGATTTATTCCAGGTCATTCTATGGCATTTCGCAGGTTGGGTGAGATGATATTCAAAGTAGCGGACGTACACCTTGTATATTAGGAAATTCATAAAGTCAATCGATATCATGCATTCAAGGATAGCTTGATAACAACAAATGGTTAGTCAAGAATATTTGGAGAATGATAACAATGATATCAATCTTTTTCCTTTCCTAATACATGCCTAGGTGACGTTGATGATGGTAATATTCCATAAGACCTGAACGATCTTATCGTTATCCTATATAAAAAAGCAAATTCATTTGAGAATCATTCACGGTAAGAATAATCAACAAAAAATTAAACAAGATGGCGGATGCAGGAAAATTCCAGTAGTAAACTCTAGTTAAGGCAAAGATTGATATCGAGTACCGGTAAAGTTATAAGTTTCATTTAAGAGTAAAGAAGTTACATGGTCGA